ATGCAACTGCACCAGGAATCTGCTGTTGTTACTCAGCGAGTCTGAGGGGTGGGGGCTTCACTTTGACCCACAGGTTGGTGAACAGATTGCTACAGAGCATCCATGTGTGTGGCAGGCAGGGGTCAAGAAGAGAAGAGGAGAAAGAGAGGACTTGAGCCTCCTTGCTGAGTACAGCCACAGGGCTGCCACCACTGAAGTGTCAAGGAATTGCCATGTTGTGTAGTTGTGTCTTAACTTGAAAAATGCCACATCCTCGTATGGAGGGAGATGTTTCCAGCATTTGCTGTGGCTTTATTCTGGTTAAACCAATAGGCTCCAGACAGAGCTCAGGCTATTGTATAATATTCTGTTTCCATTTGTCCGCCCACTTCACCATAAAAAACACAAGCATTTGAACAAATCTGTCTAGATTTCAATGTGTCAGGATGCAGCTTGTCAAAAATCTGCTGGATTAGCCTTTTGGTTGCTGATTTTTCCGATTCCCGCCGGCAGGCACTGACAAAAGCAAATCCCACAGTTTTTGACCTTCCATTACATGATTTCCAGAGACATCTGGAATTGCCCACGAAGATGCATCCGCGCTTCCATAATAGTCTTTCAGATCTGCAGCACTTCAGGCTCTTGGGAGCTCCTCCTGTTTGATGAAGTGACAACAGGGGATGTAATCATTCCCTCATTTCCCTGGTACTTCTGGTGGCATTTACAGGCTTTTGAAGATGGGGACAACCTTGTTAATAGGCTTTCTGCAGATGGGCAGACCCGTGCACATGGGTTGGGTCCCCTTTAGGCTTGTCCTCAGGCCCAGGCTTGTTGATCATTTCATTTTGGAGTACATGATGTCTGGCCAACATCCAACTTGAGAGAGGAAGCTTTTAATTTCTAGGTGTGAGGCTGGTGCTACCTTGCTTACTTCCCAGCCTGGTCTCAGGAACTGCCTTTCTGCCTCTCATCTGCCTGTAGACAAGAAGAGCATTTGTCTTGTCCACTGTCAAGACAACTAAATAAGTTACTTGTCAAGATCCTTTCAAACCAGCCAGATTTTAAGTTCATAGGTAGGTGCAGCTGCCTGGTGTGGAGACACAGGACTTCTCCTGAGTTCTGTAGCTCAGGGCTGACATCAGCAAGTAGCACTCACTTGAAAATCACTGTAGCAGCACCAAGTGTCACTGCCCAGTCTTGCTGTTGTAGGATGAGCTGGGAAGTTCTGTCCAGCATTTTGGATCTCTTTCTGCTTTGTTTCAGTGTTCCACTGCTGGCTCCATGCAGTTCCAACTCCAGCCAGTTCCCCACTGCCCCAGTCCTCCCCACAGGCCAGGTCCAAGCTCTTGACATTCTCCTAAAATTATTTAGTAATTGGCATCTATTTTGTTTTTTACATTTTGAAATGTAAATAAAGAGTTTTGTTAAACATGTGTGCAGTGCACATCAGTGAAGATGCTTGGGAACAGGTTCTTCTTCAGGAGACGAGGGCTGTAGCATCTTCAGCAACGAGCACCATTCCCAAGCTGGTTCAGTAGGGAACGTTTTACTGCGTGTGCTGTTGAGGACCATTGCAAATGGGCAACAAGGGATGAAAGGAGCGTGGCAGAGCATGGCAGTGTGAGCTACACCAGCTCCTTTACTCAGCAGGTAAATAAGGCTGCCTGGCAGAGGATCTTGGCACCTTGGAATCACCAGAACCTTTCTACGTGCAGCCTTACTGGAGCATGAGAACTTGGTGTGGCACAGACCCCCCCTGCAGCCCTGATCCAGCTCTGGGGAACAGCACAAGAGGGACGTGGAGCTGCTGGAGCGAGGCCAGAGGAGGCCCCGGAGCTGCTGCGAGGGCTGGAGCAGCTCTGCTCTGGAGCCAGGCTGAGAGAGCTGGGCTGGGGCAGCTGGAGAAGAGAAGGCTCCTCAAGGGGACACCTTAGAGCAGCTCCAGTGCCTAAAGGGGCTCCAGGAAACCTGGAGAGGGGCTTTGGACAAGGGATGAAGGGACAGGCCAAGGGGAATGGCTTTAACCTGCCAGAGGGGAGACTGAGATGAGCTCTGAGGCAGAAGCTCTTCCCTGTGAGGGTGCTGAGGCGCTGGCACAGGGTGCCCAGAGAAGCTGTGGCTGCCCCATCCCTGGCAGTGTTCAAGGCCAGGTTGGACACAGGGTCTTGGAGCAACCCGCTCTAGTGGAAGGGGGGCCGT